ACGCTGTATAATATGATTCATGTCATGCAATTACGCTACTTTTTTAAAAATTGAGTATATAATTTAAATATATTAATTTTGCAAAAGTAAGAAGTTATTTAAATTGAATTATTGCAGAATCTGATTTGAATTTTATCCTAATTTTTAACCAGATTTTTAACCTAATTTTTATTTTAAGTTGATGTTGACCAAGTCAAAGAAGTCTCAAGTAAAGAGGGAGTTACTTTAATATAAATTAACCTTATCCTAATTAGTATTTTTATGCTGATACAGTTATATATATATTATTTAGGCTAACTTTTAAATTTTACAAAATAGAAACAAAATTGCGATAATACTTAGTGCTAAACCACTAGAAAAATTTATAAGTTTAATTGTATAATATGCAGGAACTCCTGAAGAAAATAGATCAATCAAACTCTTTTAATTTGATTTTAAAAACTGATATTAATAAATTTATTATGCTAAATTAAACTGATTGTCTTAACTAATAAGAGAATTATGAAATTAGGAATATATTTAATGATAATAATACATATCTGTTATTTATTAAGTATTTTATTAATTGCTATATATTACTGATATATATTCATATATTCTCTTTCTTTTTTACTTGTAACTTATCTAAATGAAACTAATTATTAATATCAATTGATTGAAAACTGAATTAAAAACCTAATGATATGAACAGTACTTTTTAATTACAAATTCTACTATCTAACTTGTTAAACCTTTTTGGTATACATCTATGTAGCAAAATGCCTTTCTTGCATATTGATGAATAGTTGTAAGTGAGATATAATTAAGAGCTAATAGAATAGTTTTTGTAATCCTGTCTATGAATAATCACAATATGATTAACTATATTTTTTAGCTGCATCCCAAAAGTTTTCAATATAATTAAGTTTGCAATGAAACTTAAGTAAAATATTATTTGATACTCAGCTATAATAATAACTTTTTCTAATTGTCCTTTTTGTGCTAAAAAATCCAGTTATTGATCCATCATTTTCATGCTTCTTCTAACTTTAATATCTCATTTGACTACAATCCCCTTTTTATTAGAACCTGCTTTAATCTTTTTAGTTATTTACGCAATTTAAGAATATGATAATCTATTAGAAAAACTATATCTTATTAAATTCCTTTACTATAAGATATATTATATATTTAGTTGCTTTTCACTAGGATTAAGATTCATATACCAGTCAAAAAGTAAAAATTTGGCCATATTAAAATTCAGCCTATATTAGACTAAAATTAAAAGCATTCAGATACTATTAGTAAATGATCTATATTTAGGCTTATATTTGACTTTACTGAATAATAGTTGAATGACAGCTATATAATCTGTATAACAAATAAAAGTAAATTATTAGAATAGTCAAAATTTATCATAGTGAAATATTTAAATTTTATTATTAATTTTCAAATAGAATAATAATTGTTTGAACTTCAACCCAAATGAAATTTCTTATTTAGTAGAACAATTGCTAAGTACTCTTTAACATTAGACTGATTTGATACTCTATATCTCATAGATATAATTCGATCTAAAATATTATATATTGGAATTATACAGTTTCTACTGATTGGATAAAAACTATTTTCTCACAACTTAACATTGCAAGTTTTAGCATCATTGTTAATATTAAAGTAAAATCAAGTTGAGAATAAATTAACTGCTTTATATCATCTAACATAGGCCAATTTATGTGTTAACATTTGTGAGTTTATATGAATGTTATATTTGAAAAAATATTGAATTTGGCCAGGGTAGGTATTAACACTTCGCCTATCATAATTGATAAATTTAGTCAAAATAAAAGAGTTTTTAATATATCATGCAAAAGCAGTACTTCTGAAAATTTTTACGCTAATTTGACATCTCCTATACTGATTCACCTTATTAACAACTATTGTCGAATTAGATAAATCATTTGTAAATTGTTTCCTAAATGTCAAATTTACATATGTATCCATGTAATATTCAATAAAACAATCATATATTAATTCCTCAAGCTGAACGTTTTCAGAATGTGGTAGTAAAAACTTTCCTGAAAAATTTTCAAAATCAGTATTAAGTGATTCTAACGTATTCTTCAAGTTTATTAGGAAATGGTACATCACTTCTGTTGAAAAATCATTAGCATCAGAAAGCGACCTGACAGAAGATTTGATATCGAGTAATTCAAGTCCTTTTACTTCTAAACCAGAACTGATTATATCATTTATTTTTGTATCAGCCATTAATCAGTACATCAATTCAGTTTTAATTCAATGTTGACTATTAGGCAATGACTCTAACTAAATAAATAAAACTATTAAACAAAGAAAATTAAAAATTAAAAATTAGTATTTAATTCATCATATCTAATATACCATTCATTCGTTTAAATAAAAAACATCAAAACAAGTATAAAGGACCATAATCATAAATACACTCGTATAAATATAGTAAAAGGTGAAGATTCAGTATTATTTTTCCTTCACCGTAATGCCTTTCGATCTGTTTTATTATTTCTATTAATCCACTATGGGTTTCATCTATTTCATCGACCTCTACAATTCGTCTAACCAAAATTTTACACACTTTGACAAAGTATATTAGAATTTTTCAGTCTTTTAGTGAAAGATGATCCTATAATAACACCGTGGTATATATTAAGAAAAAGTTTTGCCACTGGTCTGCTGTAAAATTAGAAAACCCTTCACCTTCATGAATATTACCAGGTATCTATTCCAAATAAGTTAGTACTTAAAAATTGATCATTTTTCCTTTGTATTGACCAAAGAGCATATTAATTTAATATATTTTTATCAATTCATATTCTTTTTACTATCCATTTAGCAATACCTAAAAAAAGATAATGCATAGGGTCTATGACAACAAATCTAATCAGATTGAAATACGTTAGGCGCAACAGTTCTGACCATCTAATATCATTTTTTTTAATAAATCTAGATTGTTCAGCATTAGTTTTGCATCATCTCCAATCTAAAGCATTTTGTCAATGTCTTGCTGAATCTTTTACAACAAACTATTTATCCATATTTGATATACTGCCAAAATTATGTTAGTTGTCAATATAATTCGCCTTCTTTTCACAGCGATGACATGACATGAGAGCAGATACGTGATCACATAGTTTTTAAGCTGCAGGAATATCATACGAAACTAAAATCAATGCTACATGAATATCTTTACCGCTTGAACATTTGTTCATATAACTAAGAGTTATTCCTTTCTAAAATAACTCAAATTTTGTAATTATAGGTGAAAGATAGTGGTTTATCTTATGCAGGCTAACTTCATTAGATTCTGGTAATATACCAAGTATAATTATATTTTCAGACTAAACTGAATATTACAAGGTAAATTAAATAATGTGGCATATAGAACTCCTGTACTATAGGTTGCTCTGTCATAAGGCTGAAACCAGTCCAAATTAATGATTAATCCAAGATGATTATCAGTCTTCTCCAATTGAAAAAAATAGTTTGAGTCTTTTTCAGATGATTTCTTAAAATTTTGCCATACCTAACCATTATAAACATCTGATAAAATATTATCATGTTGTGAACGATTAGTCTAATGTCGTAAGGAATTTTCAAATCCTGGTCAAAGAAACATATTCAAAAGTTGATGTTGGATACTTGTAACCAGATAGACTAATTCAGGCCTAAATGATATACTATTGTTTAAAGTAATCTGTTTCGCTAAAGAAGTTTAACATTATTTGAATCACTTTGTAGCTGAATTAGGAAATTCTACATATCTACATTTCGTGATCAATTATTGAATATTAGTCACATCGTCTTCTTATATAATTTGTGATATTTTTGATAAGTCGTAAAACATATGAATTGATCGACTATGTCTAGAGTTTGTCTCATCATATATAAGGATTTTAGAAATGATTCATTTTTAGGACCTCTGCACTCTTTTAATATGATTTTAACAAATTTTATTAATGCTTCAGTTGCAGAATCTGATAATCTAAAATTTAACCTAAACTTCATTATCCATATTAAAATCCACATTGCTCGATCTTATTTTGGTAATTCTGAGGCATCTGATATATCAAACATAGAATAGGAATAATCTTCAAAATCATTTGAAAATTCGTTATTATCTCCACCATCTCTCATATCATCTCCATCATCTGTATCATCTTCATTTTCATCTTCAGTTGATGAATTGCTATTAGAATCTTCAGAATTTTCAAAATTACCTTAATTATGCATGATGATATATCAAAAAGTTGCTGTTCTTTTCTTTTTACATAAAAGGAATATAAAAGTTTATTCTTCTAATATGTTATCATCAATTATTTCTTCTAGCATATCGTCATCATCAATTATTGATTATTGTGTTAGATATTCCTCATCAACTGGTTCGACTATTAATTGTGACATTAGCAATTTATTAATAGGTAAATATACTAACTGCTCTGATCTTAAAAAAGTCAGTCATCTCTTTTATTCATATGCATTTTTGTGCGCAAATCGATCAGTTTTCCTTTACATTTGTCACAAAAATATTGAACCTTTGTCCTTGATACTCTTATTGTAATTTTAATATCTTCTATGGAAGGTGGATTTGATTTCAAGGAGTTTGCATGATTTTTATAATGTCTGTAATAGATCGTTTTCTTGTTATTTTAACAAAATGATGAATGAAGTAATAATAAATAATATCGTAACATATACAATTTTATAAGTCGAATTGTTTAATTATTTTAATTTAAATTTTTAAAATTTTATTAATATTTTTAAGTAACTCAACTAATCATAATCAATATATTAAATTTAAGTTGAATTTAAGTCAATATCATTAAATCATAATCAATATGTTGAATTTAAGTCAAATTTAAGTTAATATCAATAAATTATGATCAATATAAGTTGAATTTACCAAAATCTTTAAATATTATGATTAATGACAAAGAACAATATAAATATAAGTTGAATTTTCTATGTCAAACATTTTTTTTCTTATGAATAATAACATTTCTAATATAGAATCATCAAAAAATATTATTATACAAAGTCGAGCAAAATTTCAACTACTTCACAAATTTTATCACCAAAACCTATTAAACAACCTATATCGGTTTAATAACCTTCACCTATACTAGTTTGCCTAGTAACAGCTTGGCCAATAACTGTGTCAGTTTGCCTTATAACTGTGACAACACATTTTCAAGTTCGCCTAGCAACGACAGTAACACATTCTCAAGTTAGTCCAATTACGGCAACACATTCTCAAGTTTGTCTAACTGTATTAGAACATCCTACAGCACTTCAAACAACTACTATAATTCACACAACCTCAACAACTACTTCAGTTCATTTAGTAATAATGTTACACAAAAGAAAACATAGATGATGATGATCTAAAGAATGACGTCGATCTCTAAGAAATTATATACAGTCCCCAGCGAAAAGAATGACGGTTTAAATACCACATCTATTTTAGGCCGAAACGTAAACTGCGTTTCCGATATGGGCGTTTTTTATATGACCAAATTAGGCGCTGGAATCATAATATAAAAGGTAAGTTAAAAAAATTATGTTTGTTTTTGTTTTTGTTGTGATTTCTTAACCGAAAAAATG